AAAACCCTAGGTCACAATACTTACCTCCAAATGTTCCAAACACACGTTTAACCTTCAATCTTACCCACAAATAGCTTTAGAGGCAATTCAATTGGTGGAAAAGGGTTAGGAATTGAGAGAATCAAGAGAGAAACAAAAGGGAAAGTAGGAAACACGTATTCTCCAACCCTAAACCCCTTAAATACACAAAGTGTCATAACATTTTCGTTACAGCGAGACTTCTCTCGCTGCAGCGAGGCATCTCTCACTGCAACGAGACCCCCTCTTGCTATAGTGAATATATAAGACTAAATTGCACCCTAATTTCTGCATATTCTCACTATAGCGAGACCCTCTCGCTACAGCAAGACTGCACTCAGAAAACACCCTCTCTTTGTTGCCCTCTCACTACAGCGAGAACGCAACAAATGCACGCCACTTGCCCAGGACCTTCTCGCTACAGCGAAAACGTCCTTACATCACACACTTAGCATATCCCTCAACCAATTTTAAACACAATTGCAAGTCCACATTCTCCTTTCAACCTTAATAAACATATCAAGTTGACAATACACATACTTATATTAAAAATTAAAATATTATTACTAATTTCGGGATATTACAATACATATATACACATACACCTGTACTTATTCACACCATTAATCATAAATCAAAATGCACATCTAAATAATAATACACATGCTTATATTAATAATCAAAATATTATTACAAAATTTGAAGTGTTACACCTTACAAGACATATTGTTTCCTATAAGCACAACTTCACCTTCAATTATTGTAAACCAATCTCCATTCAAACACATGGTACAAGCAACAAGAATCAATACTTTGTGCATCATCAACTAAAATTGTACAAAAAGAACATTTTCAGCACCTTTAGCAACACTTACTCTATTACTTCTATCAGCAACTTTCATTTCTTTAAGGTTTAGGCAATCTGTTTTCCAATGTCATTCTTTCTTGTAATTAAGACACCTTCCTCTTCATTGTCTAGATTTTGATCTAGACTTCCATCTTCTATTACTACTCGAACCCACCACTTTTGATCTTCCTCTAGCAAACAAGCTAGCTACAAGGTCATCATATCCACCATTATCGTGTTTCTTCTTCTCATGACCTAAGGATGCAACTTCACCTCATCAATATTAAGGTGTTCACACCCATATATGTGTGTTACCCAAGAATGCTTGTAAGAAAGAGGTAGAGAACAAGAATAACATCATTGTTTGTTGCTCACTAAAAAATGTCTCATCCATATTTTTCAAGTCCATAATGAGTGAGCTAAACTTAGAAATATGTGTTCTGATAGACATACTTTCGGCCATGCGAAGCATGTATAAGCATTGCAACACTCTTACATGATTGGCCACCATTTTCTTCAACTACAATGGCTCTAACTTGTTCCATAATAATGCTTTAGTTTTTCCTTAGAGGACCTCTTATAATACGTTATTTGTACTGGATAACTGAATGATAGAAACAACTTTTTGTTAAGCTCATTCCTACTTAAACTCTTTCATGGTAACAAGCTCTTTATCTTTCTTGTCAAGTGCCTTCAAATTTTGATTTGTAAGAACTATCCTTATATGAACCTTCTACGTATTGAAATTGATGAGGTCATTAAACCACTGAAGATCAAACTTTGTTGTCGCTCTGATACTAATTTGTATAATTATTGTGGAAGAAAATTGATATAAGAAAATAAAAGGTTGTTCAACTGATAGCTTACATCTATACATCAGACTTCTATAACTGATATAAAAGTATAATGGTGAGTACAAAGGAAGTTTATATACTTCTCACTATCTTAAACCAAAATACACCTCACAAGTAATTTTTCAGATTTTCATTTAATAAACTTTGACTACCATCAATTTTTCATAATTGATTGTAAATCCTCCTTTTTTCTTTTTCTTATATATGTTCATTGTCTCCTTATGATCTAATTGCAACAATGAACGTATTCATCAACATTTAATTTTAACTAGTCATTTACATAAATTTTTTAGAGATGATTGTCTGATCATTCTTAGCTAACTTAAAAAAAGATTTAAAGCATACATTGAATTATTAAAAGTATAATCAACATGTTTAAATATTTAGAATGTTAGAGATTGAGAATCTTCATATTTTGAATCAAAGATCATAGAAATTGCACTCCAAAGTCTTGAGCAAGCAACACAAAAAAAGAAACGGGCCAATCATTGAATCCTTGGTATTAAATTTTTTTAGGCTTTATTTAGGAGTTTGGAAGAAGAAAGAAAAATGTTAGATGTAAAACTTTAATTTAAATATTCAAATAAATAAATTTCACAAAAATAGAGATAATAAAAATTTTCATTCAAACGGTTCCCAATACATAGTTCATTAAAGTAATTCAAAATAAAGATAGATTACAAGTTTAAATCAAATTATTTCTACAAGAATAGTTCAAATATATAAGAGTTTTCAAAATAACTTTCTAAGTTCTATAGTAGTTTCATCCGTCCCTTCACTGAGTCCGGTACTTGTCGTCTTGGTCACCTAAAAAATAAATGTAAGCGTGAGTATTTAACACTATCACACACAAGCACAGAGACTCACCTTGCACATTTCACACATTTATTAACACAACTCAATCGTGCATCAAACAGGCACAGAGCAATAATTTCAATATTTCATTCTCATTCACACACAGGTGTGCTCACAAAACCATTAAATAATCCACACACACGTGCGCTCACTGTGGCATTGTAATCACAGATTCTTGATGCTCTCAACTTCAAGGACTTAGTCAGTTCAAACCATTGATGGTCGCTAGATAGCTCCCGCTTCACGGATACAACGTGTGCGGTATTGAGCCCCTAAGCAAATGTGTTAGTCAGAGGTTGAGTCAGGAGGAGAGTGTGTGGCCTGTGGTGCACTCACGCTCACTGTTGGTGTCACCACCATCCTCTCTTCCCCAAGGTATTTCTACCACCCCATCTTCTACACCCCCAGTATATCGCTGAACCATTCATAGTTTTCTAACATTTCAAACATCATCACAATCAGATCCAATATGTCATTCACACACATTTCTAACTATTCAAATTATTCAGTATCAATCAATGGCATGCAACCACACACAGTCACCCACAACAGGTTCAACTATTTCATCACATGTAATATTCAACATCAATCACATTGTATTCAAACACACAATATTTCTTATCACAATTCATACCAATCAATCAATTCCATCACAAATACTATTCAACATCCATCACACTATATTCTACACAATCTTTCCATTGAAATCTCATCACAATCAAATCATTTTCATTAAGACATACATCCTCCTACGTTTCAATCATTCACATTACAACACAAGCAAAATAACGAATTTCAAATATAATGAGATAGGGTAGAGTCCCCCTTACTTCAAATCGAAAACCCACAACACTAATCAACAATAAAAGTGTCTTCCACATAGATTTCTTCCTTCAAGCATTCCAAACACGGTTTTAATCTTTAATCTAGCCCCCAAACGACTTTGGAGGCAACTTAATCGGTAATAATAGATTGAAAATTGAGAGAATCAAAGAGAGTTTGAAGAGAGGAATGGGAAATGAATTTCTCAGATCCTAAACCCTTCAAATACTCCTCTGGTTGCGACACTCTCGCTATAGCGAACCATCTCTCGTTGTAATGAGGTTCCCTCGCTACAACGACACCCTCTCTCGCTATAGTGAAAATCTCAGAGGAAACCGCACTCTAGTTTCTGCAGAATCTTGCTACAGCGAGGCACTCTCGCTACAGCGACTACAACCCAAAAATGCACCTCTCTCTATTGCATTCTCGCTACAGCGAAAAGTCTCTCGCAACAGCGAGAACACAACAGAATCACCCATTTCTCCCAAGACCTTCTTGCCACAGCGAAAACGCCACAGATCCATGCTCTACACTCAGGGCCTTCTCGCTACAGTGAGAACACCCTGCAACACACACTTAACCAATATTTTTAATCAATCCAACCACATCCAATCTCTCAATACACAACCAACATCCACAATTATACATATACACACATACACAGATATATATATATATATATATATATATATATATATATATAACGTATTCACACATGTACACATACATTTACATCATCATACTCATCAAATATACATTCAAATAGAACTCCCCAATTTATATTAATATATAAAATATTATTACAAAATTCAGAGCGTTATATTAGAAAGGTAAGGGAGGAAAGGAGAAGTAGGAAGAAGAGTTAATAAAAAATCTTTGAATTAAAGAGAATTAAAAAATATGAACTTATGAAGGTTATGAAACATCTCACTTTCATCTAGAAACTTCTAAACAAGGGTTATTATCAAATAAGCCTTCTCTTTCACTCCCTCCCTCTCCCAAAAAAAAAAAAAAAAACTCTCAAACAAAGCCTTAAGGTTAGAATAAACTTAGCAACTAAAAGCCAGGTTAAAGAAAATGCTCCAAAATCCTTGTTAAATAATGTTGGACTAAAGTTTAGTTTCAAACTATCAGTCTCTTATCACTTGCATAATTGATTCTAAAGCTTCAAGGAAAAAAGGGCTCAAAAAGTAAAATTTGTGATACCTATTTTCCTTCACTCCTTATTTGTTAATTAAAAGCCTCCCACAAGTTTGTTTCCACATAAAGGTTTGATCTTAGGTGGTGTATTCAAGGTCCAAATGATGTCAAAAAGTCTAATTTGTGTAAATAGACCTTAAGTCTTTTTTTACCTTTTTAATGTATCTTTCAAACTTATGGAATGTTAGTGGAACAAAAAGTTTATTAAGACAAAAAGGATTCTCATCCTAAAGAATATCAAGCAGAAGATATATCTAGAGAGTGGAACCTTTTTATATAAAGTAAAAGACATAAATTTAAAGTATATAATTATACATGAATGATCATGATTATAAGATTTGAAAAGTCACATAATCACTTAAAAAGAACACGTGTCTTTTTAAAAAAATTATATAACATATAATTTAATCCTGACTATTCATGACACATATTATATACACAGCAAGTTCTACATACATGAATAAATCATCTGAAAATATAGGAAATCTTCTTGCCTCGTAAAGATTCAACCAATAAGCAAATGGTGTAATAACATACATGAAAATGGCAAAACCAGCAGCAACATTAGCTGTAGCAAACCATGGACTGGCCAGAGGACTACCAAGATAAGAACATATACTAGACCAGTCAAAGCCAATTGCCCCAACTCCAAGACCATGCAACCCTGAACCTAACTGTTGTGCTATAATGGAAGTTGGAAACATCCAGCAGATCCAAGAAATTGATGTTAACATTGGGAACAAGTAACCAGGAAAAACATAATAAGCAAAACTACAAACAAATGTCATAAGGAAGAACTGATTCCGAGTTAACCCGCCCTTCGGTCTCTCTTCTTTCTCGTGCAATGCCCTGAAACTCATTATATATTGTGCATGAGTTATAAATTTTTTGTGCAACTTGGAATTAACAGACATATGATTGGTATTTGCTCGTGCATTTGATGGGATTAAAATCACATCCTTTCTTTCAATATTATTCCTTTTTTTTTTAGAATACAGTTAAAAAAAAACTTATTTTAATAACTTTTACTAAATTTTATTAAATAAATTAAAAATAACTAACTAGTATTATTAGTTATTTTATTAAACTATTTAAAACACTGCAAAAACTTATGACATAAATAATTATCATAAAATTTGTTGCAATGAATTAAAAAATAATAAGTTATTTGTTTATTAGTCGTGCGATATTCAGATAAGAGTACTGCTACTATTACTAATAATAATAATAATACTAATTAATTCATCAAAATGTAGATTAATAATAAAGGGAAAACAAATTTTGCAATTGAAGAAATAAATTCATAACATATATGTGAATGCAGCATGCTCTTTTTAATGTCAAACAACTATTGTCTAATCCTCAATGTTTAACTTAACAAGATGGTGAAATGAGAAAAACAATCTTTGATCTTAACAATAGTGGTCAAATAAATGATTTGTCTACAATATGTGCAAGCAATATAAATAGTGTAGTTGAACAAAGATATTAGACGTGAAAGTGATTATACAATTGCAATTATACTTGTACTTTAAAGTCAAATTTTAAAAAAATTTACGGTAGACAAAATTGATTTTACAATTAAGATAAATGTCATAATTTTGCAACAATAGCAAATGTTACTTTTCATCATAAAGTAACATATACTTTACTGTGTAAAAAATTGAATTCGAAAGATACAAACCACCATAAGACATAGGTTGTCTTTAAGACCTATTAATTATCTTAAAAAATTAAAACTATTAAAAAATTCATTGGAATTTAATAAGTTGAATATATATATATATATATATATATATATATATATATTAGTGTATAAATAATATGTATAAACATTAAATCATGATAGGTTAATAATTTAAAAATAAAAAAATAAAGATCAAATTATAGTATTAAAGGTTATGTGTTAAACTCGGTCTTTAGAAATCAATTTAAACATCCAAATATAATAAATTTTTATTGAAAAAATATATTTATTACATTAAATTTGTAAAAGTATTATAAATATTTTTAATGAAATATTACTATTATTAGTTGTTTAAATCTAATCTTAAATATTGATGTTAACATTTAATATTAATTACTAAAAAAACCCTTTTAAATGTTATGCACTTCCATCATGAAATCACATAATAATATCAATTATATACACTTTATAAAATTAAAATAATATCATTAATTATTTTTATATATTTTAAAAATCTTTCAAATTTTTAATACAGTTATATGTACATTTCACTTTACAAAAACATACATTTATTTTTATTGTAACAAAATTTTAAAAATATATTATTCATAAGCAATACACCAAAAGATGAAATACATCTTACACTGAAGTTCATAAGCAATACACCAAAAGATGAAATACATCTTACACTGAAGTATTATACTTTTCTATACTTTTTTGATAGAATGATTTTTGTATATTAAAGATATTTTATATTTTATATTTTATATTTATTTCTTTTTTCTTTTTCATCACATTATCATTTATCCTTTCACTTTTTTTCATATCTCCTTCTTCATTCCACCTCTTGTATCCAAAAATGAAATGTAAAATAACAATTGCTATTATGCATGATATTTTACAACTCTATACTCTATCGTAAAATAACCATTGTCTTAATAAAATATTTTTCTAAAAATTCATGAATAACTTCAGCAGCCAAAAAACCTTATTATTAATGGAAATGCACAGGATAAATATAAATTTATTCAAATAAAAAGATAAAATTGTAAGATTTTTATCATTATTTATTTATTTGTGTGTTTAGTTAGTTATATTCAGAATTGAATATTATGTCATGTATTTTGTTATCATTTAACTATAAAAATATCAAAATGAATAATTTTTTCTAAAAAAATAGTTCTTTCGACTTCAATTTATAAAATTATATTTTTTATAATTTAGATATTGTTTTTCTAAAACAAAAATGAATACTTATGTGATATAAGTGTGTAATTAATTTAAAATTTAAATATCAATATTTTTCAGGCAAATTTTATAAGAAAAAAATAACACTTAGAATGGCATAATTACAACAATGAAAAATATAACTGAAAATCCATTAAGATAAAGTAAAAATAAAATAAAATTACTATATAATGTTGAATTGTATCTATATATAAATAAAACTCTATTTATATAATTTAACTATTAATTTACTTTTATGAGAAGTTTTTATTGTATGTTATTTAATAATTCAACTTAATGAGTTGAAGATAGTTTCATGTAAATTTTAATCCCCAAGGGAATACAAATATTTCCGCGTATATTCTAAAGTTAAATATTAATACGCATTCATAATAATGTTGGTAATTATCTATATAATATAAGAAAATTATATTTTTGTTTAAACTTTTATTTTAGAATGAAGTAAATATTTATTATAATTTAGATTTAAACATTAGTGCACAATTCTTAAAAGAATGTAATCCATGTGATAAGAAATTTATCCAACTATTTTCAATTTTATGTAATTTTTTGAAAATTTATTTTCAGTATCATGAACCATTCTAAAGAAAATTACTCAAATATGATTCATGAGTATTACCAAAAAAAAAAAGATTAATTACATTTATAAATTTAAATACAAGAATTTCACTGCTAAAATTTGAATAGAAAAATATAAAATGTTCAAATTTTTAGTTTGTTTATTTTTAAATTTGGAAAAAAATAAAAACTATCACATAAATAAAATAAAATTTCATCTTTCAATGATAATTTAAAATAAATATCCCAATACGTAATAATCAAATGTTCAAGTTCCTTTCAAATATCAACAGTTAGAATTTTTATAATTAAAACTAATAATTAATTATAACAATAATATAATAATAAATTGAATGAAAATTGTTTAAAATTTAAAATTAGCAAGTGTAGAATTAAAAGATATTAAAAAATTCATTATTTTTTTTATAGGAATGATCTATAGAAATTATAGATTAAAATATAAATTTAGTCTTGATAATTTATTTATTTATTTATAAAATGATTTTTATACTTAAAAAGTTATGTTTTAATCTATGTTATTTAATAATATTAGGGATAAGAGGATAAGTATTATAAAATTCATAGAAACTAAGATGTTAAAAGAAAAAAAAACTTTTCTAAGATCAAAAGATAATATTTTATTACAAGAAGTAATCTATGGATAAGTATTGATCGTAAAACATAAATATATATTTTAACTAAAATTTTATTAATAAAAAAAGTGGATGAATAATTTAATGCTCTTAATGAAAACTAAAAATTGAGAACGAGAGAGAATTTTAAAAAGGGTTTTATAAGTAAAAAAAATTAAATTAAAATTATATATTGGTTATTGGAGAGACTTATTTAACCTTTTAAGAAAATGTAAAATATAGTGAGGCACCCTCTTTTATAAATAAATAAAGAGATATAAAAAATAATTAAAATAAATTAAAAGAGTAAGTGCATTTAATAAGACAAATAGTCTAGTTTTAATTTATTTAACTAATTATAAGTTTGTTTTGAATATATTATTTAACTAGGAGGCTTATTTCACTAGCTTGTAATGTTTCTATAAACATTACTTTACCTAGCATTTGAATTTGTATACTCTTTATTTATTTATTTTTATTAATTTTAATTTCATCATCATTATCTTAATAAATCCCTTTTTCATCCTTTTTATTAGAATATTTATATTGGACAGGGAGACAAATAGAAAGAGTCAAGAAAAAAGAAAAAAAAATATAATAGGTTATATAATAAAAAAATTGTACAAAAATAGAGGAGTACAAAAGTCTTTACATCTTCTAGTTCCTTTTATAAAATAATGATAAAAACAATTTAATGGTCATATTTATAAGATAACTACAAAATTAAGAAACATTTTTTTATATTTGTTTTTATTAATAATTAATGACCTTAAAATAACACAATTCACGCTAAAATTGGAAATAGACTTTAAATAGAGATAAATTCAAAATATTATATATTAAATTTTTTAAAAATAATGTCAATTGGTAAAAATCATCTTATAAATTTTAAGTTAAATTATACATTTAATTCTTAATCCTTAAGGTTGATACTCGTCTACAAAATAATTTATATATTTAAATAAAATTTTTGTATGAGCATTTTGTTACATTATGATTACTATTGTTCTTCTTTTTAATAGTGTTAACTATATTATAACAATAGAGACTAAAATGTAATAAAATACTTATAAAAAATTAAAATATAAATTATCTTAAATGTAGAAATTAATCCATAAATATGTATTAAAGATGAATCACTAAATTAAAGAATCATAAATTTTAAAAATATTAAAATTTATATATTTAAGTTAAAAATTATTTATGATTTAAGATCATACATATTTATTAATTGAATAAATATATAAATCAATAAAAAAATGATTATTATAGTTAATAAAATACTAAGAATAGTTCATAAATGATAAATATTTTTTATTAAAGTTAAAAAATATCTAAACATATTTAATCTTTTTTAGTTGATATAACTGGAAAAAAAAGGACTAAATATATTTTATTTTTTATAAAAAAGTAGCAAAAAATTAATTAATAAAATTTTAAGTCAATATAATAAAAATTGTTTATTTATATCAAAATAAAAATTTTATGGATTAACTCATATAATAAAGTTCATCTTTTAAAATTTTGAGTAATAGTATAATTTCATATTTTAAATATAATAAATATTTCATTTCTTATATAATTTTTTTAAAAAATATTATAGAAATTTCATATAAAAAGTATAGTTCTAATTAAGTATTTAGTCCCTACATAAATGGTACAAATATTTACCTACAAAAGCTATACAAACACTTAATTAAGATATTTATATACAAATTGTGCAATTTCTTTAGAAACTAAACACTTAAAATAAAAAATAAATTATATATAAATTGATATAATTAAATGTTACAAAATTATAATAAAAATACTAACATATATATTTTATTTATTCTTTTAAAAGTAGGATAAAAGATAAAATAAAATAAAATAAAATAAAATTATTGATTAATCAAGAACAAAGTGTTATGAAGATAAAATTAAATCATAATACATGCATTTTCTCAACTAATATAATTAAGATATTACCTCAATTTAATAATATTTTAAATATTTTTAAATTCTTTCCAAATCAATAAATTATTTAACATATATTTTATAATAATATAAAATTATTTTATAAAATATATTTGATAATTTTTAATATACGCCCCTACCTTGTACCCACAAGTCATAAAAATCGAAGTAAATAAATGTATGTTGGTTTCTTATATGCATTTTTTTCACTACAGTTAAGAATAACTTTTGCATTTAACGTGAGTTTAAGGGACCATGGAGGCGAATCCAAACGTATGCTAAATGTAAAAGAAGCAGTGTATGGAAGGTATATTCAGTGTTTGACTAGAAAATAGTAGAGGCAAATCATTTACTATTATTCATTATTATTATTACGTTTTGGTCAGACAATTTAACAGTTCAACGTACCTGAAAAGCGAGACCTGGACGAGATTTTGGGGCCACCACATGGCGGCGGGCTCCACCAGGTACCGTCGGAAAATCCCGGCCCAACTGAAGCCCAAAATCTGCGTCGTTATAACCACTGATAACGCTACCAAAATCGTTAACTCCTTCTGGTAGAAAACCTTAACGGCGCTAACGAAATGGATGGCGTAAACACTCGCGGCTCCGGAACTAGCGAAGATGGTGACGAGCACGTGCTCCTTCACATTGAACTTCCCTGGATTCAGCGTGAACTCCCACTTCGTCCCCTTCATGAACACTCGCTTCGTCACCGTCGCCGCCATCAAGTGTCCCATCGGAACCACCGCGATCTGCGCCGAAATCGCCGTGACGGAGAGTGGCTCTCTTCGGTACCCGAAGAACTGGTTCAGGAACGACAGAAGAACGCACGCTAGGGTTCCCAAAATCCATGTTCGGAAAGTGAAGGTTGGCAGTGAGGGATCGTCAGTGACCGGGACCGTTAGCGCCACCTGCTCGATCGGAGAATTCTCGTCGTCCGGCGAGTTCTCCGTGCCGCGTGAATCGGAGGCGCTGTCTTTGTTGCGATGCCTTTTAACTGAAAATGTCAATGAATATGCAAATTACAAAAGGAAGCGCTAATTAATGTTCGGACTAATGAAAAATAAAATTAAATAAAATGGAAAATGTGTGTTTGGGAAAAAGTAAGAGAAAGTGAAGATAAGTACTTAGAGGTGCGTTGATTTCATGATTATGATCCATGTTCTCTCGAGCTTGGAAGCTGCAATTCGAAATCCAATTTGTTTATTTATTTTTTTATGTTGGTGGTTTTTTTTTTTAACCCGTGGATGTTTCAGATTCTTATACTAATTTTTTTGCTCGACTCAACGTGATTATATAGACCAATGAGACATGAATCAAATAACTAAACTGATTGGACACGAAATTGATTCGTTTGCATAAAATTCTTCCATTTGATTTTTTAAGAATATGGTAGGAATATACTTCAATTGGTGTGTGTGTTTTTTTTATTCTTAGAAAGTTTTTCGTTAATTTTGTTGAAAAAGTCAAGTCAAGTTTATTCATATGACTCATAATATTTACATAACAAAAAAAATATTAACCATTGTATATTAAATAGTGAATAATTGATTTTATACTAATATTTTTTAATATTTTATTTATTTATTTTCTTAATATTAAATACAAAATTACCAAATGAGAAAGTTTATAAATAGACATTTTGTGAGAAAATTTATTTATTTATTTCTATTTTAAGATTTGAATCTTGTTAAAGATCATGGACATGTTCAGTTTAAAACTGTTATGTTTGAATTTTGATTTGATACAGTGGCGGAACCACGTTACTGTATCTGAGGGTGGCCATGCCCCTCCAAAATTTTATACTTGTCATATTTTACGTATAAATTTTGCATATGTAAAAAATTCTTAAAATTTATTTTTTATTATTCTACACATGTATATATATATATATATATATATATATATATATTATTAAATAATTTTATAGTTTAAAGTTCATGTGATAGTATTTTTTCTTCTTACATATACATGTATTATAACATATTTTGTACTAATATTTGTTCAATCAAAATTACTCTTATAATTATATAAAATTATTATTATTGGACATATAAAATTTTATAAAAATTAAAGATAAAATAAATATTTTTAACATTCAAACGAGAGAAAGTAGCAGGTATAGTGTGATTAATGATTACTACTCATATAATTTATGATTTTTATTGAATTAATCCTTGTTAACATAAATATTTTAATAAAAATAAATTATTAATATCGATATTTTAGTTTTTATTAATAATATAATTTATTATATTCATAAAAAATGTATTAGTATAAAATATTAATATATATTATTAATACATAAATGTTAGTTTATTAGTATTGACGATAATAGTCTTCTTTAATAATTTATTTTTATTAAATAAAAATTATACTAATAAAATATTTAATACATATCATAATTTTTATTTATTAATAAATGATAATTTTTTTGTGTTAAAAACTAAAACTTTTTAAAGAATATACAATCAAACATTTTAGTTATGTAAGTAATTTTTAATATTTGAATGATTAATAAAAAATGACAAGTGGCGGGGTCGTCATCAGACGACGCTCTGTCCTTTGTGGAATCCTTTGTATTTGGACGTGTTTCTTGTCAAGACTCATTGTACATTTATTTCTCCTATTTATTATTTGGATTTTATATTATTATTTTTTATTTTTTAAATATATAATTAAAAATAATAATTAATGTCATATTAAAATTTTAAATAATACATGTCAACCGATACTTAAACTCAAGACTATAAAATAAGTTTCAATTGCTAAAATAATATATATATATATATATATATATATATTAAATAATTTCTATAATATCTTAAAAATTAAGAGAATATTTTATATTTTTTATGTAAAATAATTATATATAATAGATAATGAACAATAGTGATTTATTTTAAAAAAATTATATTTTTTTAAAATTTTTAAAATATTTTAACTCTCACAACTGTTAATTTAAAAAAATATAAAATATTTTTTTAAGTTTATGATAACACACTTTTTTTTTAACTATATGTACCTTTTACATGAACCAGTTTTATGAATTTTTTATTTAAATATTATAATTTAAAAAATAATTTCTTTATTTATTATTTTTTTCTAAATTATTTTTTTAGAGTGAATTTGGCCATGTACAAATATTTTGCTAATACTATTAGTAAAATTTATTAATTTTAATTTTTAAAATAAATTTTTCCACAAAAAATATGAACTAGCAAAAAAACTTATTAATTTTATTTTTTTAAACTAATTTTTACCATAAAAAGTGTAAAATAGAAGAGATCTTATCCTGTGTCAAACAGATAAAATTTTAGTTTGTCATAAAAAATTACAAAACATATAAAGTGATAACACGTTAAACAATTTAATAATAATAATATTAATTAAAAAAAAGTTTCATCATAAAAATGACAAAACTATTCATTTCAGAATAGTTTTAGTTATAAAAAATGGATTAATTAGAAAGTCCTAAAAAATTAAATTTGTCAAAGGTCATAAACTTGAGAAATAGGAGCGGAATAGACCCATATGTGTGAATTTGAGTTTCTTAATAAAAAAATTCTAATAATATAAAAATTCATTGAGAGTCATGAAAAATATTATAATAAAATAGATAAAAATAAAACAAAACTTTTTAAATATCTAAAAAAAAAGTAAAATAAAAGATGTTATATATTATTATTTAATAAAAATATAAAAGTATATAGGCTACTTACTAAGGTTCAATGCTTGATTAAATCATCTCAATGTTTGAGTCCTTCTCCTCCTACAATTTGTAGGTAAATTTTTTTGTTTAAGTTTTTTGGCTTAGAGTATAGAAAACACTCTGAGTTTTTTATTTTTAATGAGTAAAATCTATTGTATCCTTTTTAATTGAGAGGGTTTGGTACCCTTTTTTATACGTGGAACAAATGTCATCACAGTTAAGTTTATGCTAATAGATAGTGAAGTTAATGGTTTATTTTAAAAAGATATTAATACTCTCTAATCTTTGATATATTAAAAGAATCACAACTATTAATCTAAAAAGGATATAGAATATCTTTTTAAGTTTATAAGTACCGTAACAAATATATTTTCAAAAAATTACAGGACTAGATCAAAATTTTGTGGTTCGGCATATATCACCCAGAAAACATGTGATATTTCTTTAAATAAACAATTTCATCATTTTTATGGTAAAATTTATTTTTAAAAATAAATATTGTTATTATCAGAACATGTTACATGGCATCATTTTATATATTTCATATTTTTATGATACAACTGTTTATCAAGTTTTACTAATTGTATAGAAAAACTTTGTCTATTTGACATTTAGCAGAATCTTCACTGTGCTTTCTATGGTAAAACTTATTTTTAAAAATAAAAATTAATAAGTCTTACCAATGTTAGTGAAACATTTGTCACTAATTAAATTTACCTGAAAAATAGTTTGGAAAAAATAGTAAATAAAAAATTTATTTTTGAAATTATCATACTTAAATAAAAAAGCCCAATTCTATTTGATTCGGATAAAATTAACACTCAAGATTACAAATTAAGTTATAAAAATTTTATACTAATAAATCCACATACTCAATGATTTTTATGCATTGTTTGGACAAAATAGAAAAAAAGAAAAATTTTAAAATTGAAAATAAATAAATAAAATATTTGAATAAATAAAAATTAAATTATTTATTTATTTATTTATTATTTGAATGAATGAAAAAAATAGATAACTTAATTAAAATATTCTAATAGTAAAAAAAATAGGCTTAATTATTGTTTAGTCTAAAGGACATTTTGTGATAAGTTCTTATAAAATTTTTTATTAAAATTTCTTAACACTTTATAGGAGGGAGTTAACGATAGCACTCTTACGATATTTATTTTTTATTATTTAAAATTAGTATTTACAAATAAATTTATGAACATATTTTACATAATTACAACTAAATCTCTTCTTCTTCCCTTTCCCCCTCCCTCTCGTGTTACCCACCCCATCTTTTCCCCAACCCCCATCCTAACACCCCTTTAGCTACCCACCCCCATCCCCACACCCCTTTCTTCTCTGTCCCCATTACCCACCTCACCTTTTCCTTAACTCCAACTCCAACCCCACAATCTCTCTAACTTCGTTCTCAACTCTCTTCCTCCCAACACCACCCCGTAATCGCCCCTCCCAACCTCACACTCTCTCCTATCCCATTCTCCACTCTATAACCAATGCCAATACCTTGTAAGTATCACTATCATCATAATCAAAGCCCAATGACACGCATGACCAACTAAAGCACAATATTTGTCTTAGGGAACCCAAGGTAAGCTAGAGTTAGTTCCTCCACTAAGATGTTATCACAATTATCATTAGAAGATTAAGCTGATTTTGTTAGTTTGTTATCTTTAAGTTAATAAATTTATGGTTAAAATAGGCTCCAAGGGCTTGGTTTGAAATGGTGGCCTCTACCCTCCATTACTTCAAATTCAAGCAAGCTAAATGTGATATTTCACTTTTTTATCTTCCAAAAGACAAACCTTACCATCTATATCCTCATATATGTTAATGATATAATCATTCCAAGCAATTTTAAACCTGTCATCACTTCCTTGATCTCTAAACTAAAGACCAAATTTTCTCTTAAAGACCTAGGTCCTCTACATTATTTCCTTGGTATACAAGTTCTGAGGGACACATATGAAAACCTACATCTCAGTCATACAAAATACCTTACTTACCTCTTAACTAGACAAAACATGTTAACTGCCAAACCTGTCAAAACTCCTCTAGCATCTAGCTGCAAACTTGTCTCGGATGAAACTGCAAAAACCTTCGTATCCAAGTCTCTACAGAAAGTGTGGTTGATGCTTTACAATATGCAACAATAACTCTGCCAGATATAGCCTACACAATCAATAAGCTATGTCAATTCATACACAAACCCTTGGAGGTGTATTAGAAAGCTACCAAGAGAGTACTGAGGTACTTAGCAGAAGCACTTGATTATGGTCTTCACTTAAAAGCTTCATAAACACTTGATATAATTGGATATTATGACTCTGATTGGATTGTAGACCTAAAGATATGAGATCTACTACAGGCTATTGTCTTTATCTTGGATCAAACATTGTTTCTTGGCTGGCCAAGAAATAAAGAGCGGTATCTCAAAGTAGTATAGAAGCATTAATTCAAGAGTTTGGCTTTCTTATTTGCAAAAATTTCTTACAGTCATTACTCAATGAACTACATATTCCTCTAAAGAGAACACCATTAGTCTGGTGTGACAACATGGGTGCAGTGCTCTTAATAGCTAATCCAATCCTGTACAGAAAAACTAAACATTTCGAATTGGACCTATGGTTTCAGAGAAAGGGTTGCCAGAGGCCACCTGACAGTCAAATACATTCCTTCCAAGTTTCAAATTGCATATTTGTTAACAAAAACTCCTACTATATCCATATTTTTGAATTTAAGACTCAAACTCAAAGTAAGTTAGAGACCTACCATGAGTTTGCAAGGGGGTATTAGGGAACCCAAAGTAAACTAGAGTTAATTACTCCACTAAGATGTTATCACATCTATCATTAGGAGATTAAGCTGATTTTGTTAGTTTGTTATCTTTAAGTTAATAAATTTAGCTTTATAAACTCCCAACCTCTTGAATTTTAATAATTCAATTTTTCAATAATAATTTTCTAAAATCATTTAAGAATTCTCTGTGTTCATCGTTTCTCCCTTAGAGTTTGTTCTTTTACAATTTGACTTTCTAAGGGTGGAGATATTTGCGATATTATCCTTGTAACAAGATTCCAAAATTAGACATAGACTTCATCATATGCATCATTCTCGTCGAATAAGACCATAACCCTTAAATAGACCAATCTATTGCATGTTTTGATATTATTGATGGGGATATCAAACTTGCATGAGACCTCACCTTCGTTAATGCCAAAAGATAGGTGTTCTAATAAATGTTGGATAGGGATACAGTGCATGGAGTTGGAGTGGTGTAAAGGGGAAGGAGAGAAGGAAAGGTTGGGGTAAAAGGGAAGGGTGAGGGAAAGGGGAAGACAAGGGGGTGTGCAATAGCGGAGAAGGAAATGGGAAAGAGAAATGGTGTTTTAACAAATTCAAAAATATGTTTAGGAACTTATTTGTAAATATTAATTTTAATTAAAAAATAACATGGCATGTCATGTGGTGCATGAAAGTACCAAGCTATCTCTTTGTCAGCCAGCTCAACACTTAACAGAAGTGAGTTAATGGCAGGGACTAAATTCTAACTTTTTAATTTTTTAGGGTCTAAATCTGAACAGAAAATTTTATAAGAACTTATCACAAAATATCCAATATTTATTGGAACCAAAAAAAAAATTAAGTTAAAATTTTAATATAATATTTTTTAATTATGTTATTTTTTATTTTTTTTATGTTTTGTATTATTTTAATATAAAAGAAAAAGAACAATCCCCTCCACCCAAAATCTCACCGGTATGTTTGTGTGAAAGTAAATAGTAGATCTCATAATCTTTTAATTTATATAGCTGGTGAAAAGGTTTTCGCTACCTATTTGGAGGGCAAGTGTACCTGTTAATAAGTAATAAAAGGTTCTCAAATTAAGTTTCCGAAATATAGTTCCACAAGAATTGATTTTCAATTACTAAAAATTTTCTAATTTAATTGTTTGAGCTTCAAAGATACGAGATTAATTAAAACAGGAATTTATAAAATCAATTCTAAAAACTAGAATAAAGAACACATTGCACATCTTGATAGAACTTATCAGAGAGGAACCTAGGGTATATGAGTTTACTCATTCAATCCTTTATATTATTCTTCTATTTATCTCTAAATTTGATTTTCTTGTGATTACCAATCATTCATATAAATACTATTAATACCCAATGGTCATGCAATATTAATATTCTTTTCTCTAAATTAACATCTCCAATGGTCATGTAAGACATCAATTTAAGAAAGCATAAAATACCTATGAACTAGTTAATTTAATAACAATTGAAAGAGAAAGATTGATTTGGTCTACCTAATTCTTTGTCTCGTTTTATCCTATAGATTCATTAACTAATCAAGGTACGATTGTCTGACGATATAATTAATTAGGATTAACAAAGAAGCACAATAGGATAAAATCTAATCACGAACGAAAACCAAATTTAGATTCAAACATTAAAATTTCATAAATTTATGAACAAAAGTTCCCATAGGCTTAGCTATAGACTTAGTTACTCATGCTAAAGGAAAGCACTAAACCAATCATAAACAAAGTCATAGCAAACTAGAATGAGATGAGTTTCTGATCTTCAAGTACGGTCACTTGAAGCTCCAAGTCCTGCCAAGAGTATGCCAACAATCCCGTGCAAGAGAGCCGAAATGAGAGGTGTATCAAAAAGCATAACACAAGATGTCAAAAAAAATCATCTCCACAGGATGCCTGAGGTCTCTCTTTTATAGGGTTTGAAAATCCTAAAAGCTCTTTACAATTGGGCTTCCCACATATGAGCACGACTGTGCATGGGCTCGAAGTATCCCCGTGCTTGTTGAAAGAGTCTGGACGTGTTGATTGATGCAAAGCTCTGATTTTCCATCAATTTGAGCCCAAAATTCACTTGTGGCCTCTTCATACTAAACTACATAATTGACATATAAATTAGTATAAAACCAAATAAAATAAAGATCAAACATGAATATATGGGCTATAAAAGAGAGCCTAAATACATAATTATCAACTCTCTCATACTTATCTTTTTGCTTGTCCTCAAGCAAAGTGCTTGCTAAGAGAATAACAAAATAACTTTAAACATAATACCACAACAAGGAACCCGAGATAAATGAGATAAAAAGAGCAACAAGAGTAATATCACTGAACATAAGCAATCAAAAGGATTCCTAATTAGAATTTTATATTCTCATACTTTTTCACTCAAACATTAAACTAAGATACTTTACTTTTCTCTCTTACTAAGGGACAAAATGAGATATTACTCAGTTCTCCTAAAGAGAAGTGTACTACCATAGACTTGACTATAAACTGACTCTTTCCCAAATAAATTAAATGCAAGTAAAAATCATGAGGTCTTTTTCAGGTTATAATATTGCCAAAGGATTATAATAATTAATGTGAGATAAATGAAGGAAGGTATATACAAAAAGTTAATAAATTATAAAAATTATAACATCCCTTAAGTTTACAAATGAAGTTCTTAGAGTAATTTTTATATTTATATACAATCAATATCTTTACTCTTCTCCCTTTTCATTCATATCTAACCCTTTTTTTCTTTTTCTTTTTTTTCTATTTTTTATTTTCTTTTTCATACTTTTTTTTTGCACATAAGAGATATAAAGGAAAATTTTATCAAACAATTCAGCAACTCAATTTATCTGTTCATAAACTTAAGGTCATGAAAATATTTTATAAATTTAATGTAGGGACCAAGAAAAATCAATAAAGCTTAAAATGGTCAACTAGTTGTATCTCAAACATGCTGAAGATCAAGAATAAAACTTCTATTATACCTCAATCATATTAAAAACATGCAATTAAAAAGAGTACTCTCAAGTTGGTAACAAGTCAAGTTTTAGAGCACAAATTCTAAAGAAATAATCACATAAAACAATGAGGAAAAGAGCACAATTAATTAAATTAAGATAAAATTTCCTTTAAGGCTGAAAACTCACATTTATGGGTTAAAGTTTAATATAGAGCATAAAAGTAAAATACTTAGCTAATTATTAGTTTCTAAATGAAAATATAATGCTAATAATAATCACTCAACATGCTTCTTCTATCTGGAAAAATTGGATTCCATGAGGAAAAAAATTTTAAATTATCATAAAAAAATGGCATAGGCATTTTACTTAAGAACATGCAATAACAATCATTTAATTAAAAATTACTCCCCCATACTTAAAGCAAAATATTGTCCTCAAAGTTTGAAAGAAATCAAATTAAATGTATGCAAAGAGGGCAATTGAAAAAAAGGAAAGAGGTTCTCTGATAATTCTTGGTGCGATGGCTTCTGGTGAGGAAGCACGGCCATGTTTAAACCTTAACCATGCCCA